CTCTTCCGATCTCCCCAAAACCCCAAAACCCCATGAATCATAAATGAAGTCTGTTTATCGAAAAAAATTTGAATTTAAATTTAAATAATAAAATATTTACTCATATTTTGCAATGACACAAAACTACAGTGTATTTTAGACAAGTTAGTTAACTTAGGATGATGTGAAAGCTTATCATCGGCTGGATCACTTCTAAGATCCTAAGGAAGTTGAGCGGCTAGCTGCTATCTACAAAGAATAATTACTCATCTAGAAAAAATTAGAGATGGACCCACTACCTCCAGAAACATGGCATGACTACAAAAATCAGAAATTCCTATAAGATGTGTTTAATGAATTGTAAGCTAACCCTTATAAGTTATACTATTAGGTCAGACGACTCTGAAGATGACTATGGAAGAAAAATCTACAGAGAGGATAGAGACCCTGAAATGCCAAAGTTAATTTAGAAATGGAATGAGTTGGAATTAAAATTCTAAGAAAAGCGGAAAAAAATAATTGAGGAAAATAGGGAGAGAAAGAAAAAAGGTCTAAAAGAACTGAAAGTACCAAATGAAAATGACTTCAAGGCTGATATAGAAGTTATCTAAGTAGAGTAATTATTTTTAGTGGACGATTCTTATAGGTCAAAAATTGAATCGAGAGAAGAGATTTTCTACAGAATACAAGAAGACAACATGCAGTCAGTATTTAAAATTGGCAGAAACCATGATCCCAGCGTTGATGGGCCAAAGCCATACATCGTTAATTAATTAAATGTTGCGCCTCATAATTATTCATTGTAAAATTATACCAGAATATAATGATTTTTAAAGAACATTTGATATGAGAGTAGAAATGGCGATCTTAGCAATGAGAGAACGTAGAAGATACAATTAAGTGAGGAGACTTCGTTTAGATATACCTATGAGTTATGCAAGAATAAAAAAATTCACAATCCTACCAAGACCAATTTAAGAAGAGTTGATTAAGTATCCTTCAAGTGTGATTGAGGACTCAGACTTTGAGGATGACGATATCATACGAAATAAATATTAAAGCGACCCAGTGAAATACATCTGCTAGAATAGTTAGTACAAAAGAGAAAAGTTAGAAGCAGGTGGAAAGCCTAATAGAATCTGGGCAGCGAGAGAAAAATCAGGAGACATTAAATATACTGATATTGCAACTGAAATATTAATTCAAGCAATTGATTAAGGTCTATCTGACAATGGTGTTAAAAGAGGAATAACCAAAGAAAAGCTCGATGGCACCTATCAGAGGCCAGCGCATTTAACTAAAGAGTATCTTGCGAACATGCGTGACGAATACTTGGTAGAGTATATTAAAAAGTTCTATGATATCTATGGAGACCAGATGTTTATTCAGCAGCCCAAGACAAGAGATAGACTGCTTGAAATGCTTAAGGGTAAACGAGTAATGCTGAGGAAATACCCAGAAATAATATTGGCAATGTATAGAAATGAACCAGAGAATATCCCTGAAGATCTTTAAGTGGAATAAAACATCCATAAGAGTATTGTCATTGAACAGTATGAAGGCCACTTAAGCAAAAGATAGTCTTTATATGAGAATTAGGATTAATCAGCTGGCATATATCAACAAATAATTGGTGAGAATAGTGAGATTGAAATTAAATAAGAATAGCAGAATGTTCCAGAAGTTATTTAGGAATAATAAAATAAAGTATCGGTTTCGGCGTTTCAATCAGATTCTTATGACTCAGAAGTAGAAAGATAAAAAAAATGGGAAAGGTTAAGAAAAATAGAAAATAAGTCAATGATAACAGAAGTCATCTACAATCCTACACAGGAGTAAATAGATGAATATACAAAAGCTCTTGAAGCACAGCTATAAAAGTTTCGAGAATAATAGTAAAGAGAAGAGTAAGAAGAAAAACTAGAAAAGTCAATGAGACCAGAACCTTATCCCTATATAAAAATGAACAAAGAATAAGAGAATATAGGTATAGTTGTAGATAAGATATTTAGAAATAGCTCATCTGGGGGTTCAAGTGATGCTAGTATCAGATTTGATCGTAAATTTCAGAAAAAGGAGTCAAAGAGCATTTATGATCCCACTCACATAGAAAGAAGATTTGATGGTTAATAAGTACTATTAGAGAGCTAATATTGGTACAGCTTATAAAACTATATTGTAAATCGATGCAATGATCTCGGAATTAATCAGTTGAAACAAATAATACCTGAGAAGGACTTTAGAAAGTTATCTAGAAGAGAATAAACTAATTAACTTTAATGGGATGAGCTAGGATCATCAGCTGAAGAATCTGATAATTCCTATAAGTAAGCAGAGTTTAATCATCCTCTGCTCAGAGCAAAATAAAGAATGATGAATTAGGAACTAGTTCCCATTAAACTTACCAGAAAAGAGCGTAAACATCGGGAAATGATAAATATAGATGGTTAAATGATTAGATGGGGAGACTTTTTATAAAGAGTCATGGAAGAAAATATGAAGAATACAAAGAGTGGTCAATAGATCAAAGACAGATAATTTGTAATGTATTAAGATGATCCAGAAAGGGAGAAACTACTGAAATGGAATTATTATTAAGGATTTGATTCTGAAAACTCAGAGGATGAAGGAGTTGCTTATAGGAGAACTTTGAAGAAATACCTCAAATAAATCGCAAATAAGCATGGGGATAAAGTTTATTTGAGATAACGAGATATTTTACCTTTTGAGAGGGCAATGCTGAAATTCGGGGGAACTGAAATAATCAAGTAAGCTACAGGGAAAAAATTTGCAACAAATGATATCAATATTGTATATGAATGGGTCGACCCTAATAGTTAATTGTTCGAGGAGAGACCTAATTTCTTGATTTAAAGTACTTTGAAGAAATGTCATGAAGTCTATGAGGATGAAAAATTAATGTAAGAAAAGGTAATTGCGCTAAATGGTAGGATTGAGTGGAGGAATTAACTTTTCGCAAATGAGTTCCTTAGTCTCTATGAATTATTTGTTCTTACCACTTAAGATAAAGAACTAAAGTTTCCTTAAGAGATAGAATAAGCTTTACCTAAGTCAAAAAGAGAATACATGGAAAACATTAATTTTCAACTATTTGGTACTCCGCCTGCTTCTCCAAGAAAGCTCTCCAGCATTAGTGATGAATCAATTAAATAAGAAGAAGACTTGCATATTAATGATAATTAATCTTTTGAATAAGAAAAAATAAACACACCTGATAATGAATACTAGGCGGATGCTGGCTAAAACTTTGAAGATTATTAAGATTAATAGGTGAGTGATTATGAATAATATGATAAGAAAGAAAAATTGTCAGAAGAGAAGTAATACTCTAAATAAAGACAATTCTAAAAAGTAGAGCCATAAGTTGTATAGATCGAGTAACCTAAATTTGTCTTTCCTGATAATTAAGGGCCAGACTATAAGGAACTTTAAAAGAATTTGTTTTCTTTCAAAGAATCAAAATTAGTTAATGATGATAGAGAGATTTAGCATTTAATTCAAGAACAAAAATCCATTGACCCAAAGAGCATAGAAAATGTTCTTATTCCTAAACTAGAGTAATTAGTCTTAGAATCAAACGGAAGACTAGAAGGTATTTTTATCTGGCCTCATTACAGAGCAGGTGGGTAAGATATGATATATCCAGATGGGAGAAGGTATCCGAAGAGACTGAAACTGTATAACCCAAAACCAGAAGATAAAGTCATATATCTTGCTGGTATAGATGTGGGCTACTTAATTTCAGGAGTGCCGTATTTACATCCTCAAACTTGGAAAGGCCCAGGAATTCCTCTAACAGCTAAGAAAAATTCATAATATGCATAATTACTATCTCAGAATTTGGAGAGAGTTAAAGGAGATCAAGCTGCTAGGACTTAAAGTTAACCGAAGCAACTATAAAGATAAACTGCACCTAATAGATAAAATTAAGGTAGATAAAATAATAAAAAAAGAAAAGCAGGCGAGGCTCTTAATTTAGGAGCAGGCATGGGGGATGCTCATAAAGATGATGCGATGTTTCAAATAGAAAAAGTGCTTCCTTTCATGCGCTTCAAGCATGATGAAAAGAACAGCGAATATCATCCCTTTGAAATACTTTCAATCGATAAAAACTATAATGATGACAAATCATATAGGATTAATTTAGCTTTGAAGCCAGATCTTTTCCTGGAAGTTAAACAGTAGTTAAAATAGGTGGATCTTATCAATGTTAATAAGGTAAAAAATCAGCTAATGGTGAGATATAGAGCTCCATTTCAGCCAAAAGATAGAGAAACTAGCATATACGTAAATGATAGTTTAAAATTAGGACCTAGAAGTAATTGGAGTCTTATTAATGAGGGTGATAGATCGATGGAGATATCATTCATTTTCCTTAAGTAATGAGATCAAGATTTGATTTAAATATGGAATATAAAGATGTCATTGGTATAATTATTTTATTATCATGATGCCAATAATTTATGCTTCTGGTAATTAACATTGGATTTAACTTATTTTCAAATGAAGTTCACAAGTGGGGTTTTGGGGTTTTGGGGTTTTATTTGCAGCTTTCTGCTGTTATTGT